CCCCAATCCTTTTATGGGGCATTTTGTTTAACTAACTTTTGGTTTATGACTAAGTTCATACTTAGTCTAAATTCTCTTTTAATATTATGAAGTTTCCATTGCTGTTTAAACGCTTCTGTTTTGTTTATTCTTGCCTTTATTTTTTAAGGACTTACTGAATAACTTGCATTTTTATTTGTAAAATGCTTTCTTTTCTCATGAATGTCTTAAATCAATCATGAATTATAAAAGAGGGCCCTTTTATATTCGACACTTAATGAAGAAGATGTCTCAACTTCATAATGGTGTTAACATACGACAAAAGAAATAGGAATATACATGTTCTTGAAAGAACTTTGACAAGTTTTTATTTGAACTTTTCCAAGTTTAAGTAACACTTTACATGTATTTAAATAACATCTATAACTTTTTCGTAACTGTTTTCCTCACAACAGATTTAAAAGAAAGAATAAAATATAAGGGTTTTATGTAATAACCCGTTTTAGTACACGTACTTTAAATACAAGGTTTTTATCTATAACATGTTTCAGTACATTGCCTTTAACCTAACTATGGTAAGGTTTCGTCTTGGCCTTGGCTCGTGGCTATTAGCTCGTGACTATCTTTCGCTGGTTTTTGCTCTGCACTTAACTCTTTCAATGAGTTGATTAGGCTTGAACTTTTGATTGCTTCTCAATCTTCTTTGTCTTCTTTATGCATTTGCCTACGTATATATCATATAGTCCCCCAAGTGTTTGAGCGTTGAAGCATGAAACCTCGAGCACTTGATTGTTCCTCTCATTCGGTCCTTTCCCTGAAAAGGAAAAACACACGGGACTCGGAGGGGCGATTATAGATGAAGACTGCTTAACCCGTCTGAATTTCTATCAGAATAGTTGTAACCCTAGACCGGGAAGTTTAATTTATTCCACGTGCCTTGCAGGTCGTGATTCATCATTTATTACGGGCTAGCTTTTTGCCTATTATCTAAAATCGTTAGTAAAACTTTTATCAATTCAAAAATGGAATTTTAAAATGAAGATACCTGACCGTGGGTATTCTTTTAGAAATAGTATCTCTTCAAGTCAACGGCATTCCAATGTGAAGATAATATCTTGCCATCCATAGTTTCCAGCTCGTATGCTCCTTTTCCCGCAATACCATGAATCCTGTAAGGTCCTTCCCAAGTTGGACTTAATTTTTCGGTATTGGCTGTCTTCGTGGATTGAAAAACTTTCTTGAGCAAGAAGTCCCCAATCTTGAAGTATCTTAATTGTGCCTTCCGATTATAATATCGTTCAATGACTTGTTTTTGTGTTGCCATTCTTATTAATGTAGTTTCTCTTCGTCCTTCAAGTAGGTCAAGGTTTATGCGCATTTCCTCTTCATTAGTTTCTTCTGACGCCTGCGTATACCTCGTGCTTGGTTCCCCTATTTCAACCGGGATTAAAGCCTCAGCCCCGTACACCAATGAAAATGGTGTTTCACCTGTGCTTGTTTTTGTTGTTGTACGATACGCCCATAAAACACCAGGTAACACTTCTGGCCAATTGCCTTTAGATTCTTCTAACTGCTTTTTCAAATTGTTGATAATGACTTTATTTGTTGACTCCGCTTGTCCATTACCTACTGGGTGGTAAGGTGTGGACGTAATCCTTTTGATTTGCCAACTTTGTAAAAATTCTGTGATTTGAGCGCCTATAAATTGTGGGCCATTATCACACACGATTTCCTTTGGTACACCTAATCGACATATGATATTTCGCCAAATGAAATCTCTGACCTCTTTTTCCCGTACCTGTTTAAATGCTCCTGCTGCTACCCAATTAATAAAGTAATCAGTGAGTACAAGTAGAAACTTTACCTGTCCCTTTGCTTGTGGTAATGGTCCCACCATATCCATTCCCCACTTTATAAAGGGCCACGGTGCAATGACCGGATGTAATAGTTCCGTAGGTCTATGCATGTTGTTTCCATATCTTTGGCACTTATCACATTTAGCCACGGAATTCTCTGCTTCTTCTTCCATTTTAGGCCAATCGTAGCCTGTTCTAATCATGGTTCTTACCAGTGATCTTCCTCCCGCGTGATTTCCATAATGCCCCTCGTGTATCTCTCTCATTACATATTCTGTTTGAGAAGGTCCGAGGCATCTTGCTAAGGGGCCACCGAACATCTTTCGATAAAGATTACCTTGCTTCAAACAATATCGTGTGGCCTTTCCCCGAAGCGCGTGGGCTTTTTTCTTATCTTCAGGGACGGTACCATACTGCAAAAAAGCGACAATCTCGTTTCTCCAATCCCAGGTTAAATTATTGAATTTTACCTCATTTTTGTCTGGATCGAGTACTGAATGAAACAAATGAATTACAGAAGTATTTTCGTTGCTTGCCACATCTGCCGCAGATGCGAGATTAGCTAGGGCGTCTGCTTCGACATTTTCATCTCTCGATATCTGTGTGACTTTCCAGGTTTGAAATTGTCTAATTAAATCCCGTACCTTTTCCAAATATTGCTGCATTCGTGCCTCCCTGGCTGTATAAGTCCCCAGCATTTTGTTAACCACGAGCTGCGAATCGCTTTTGATTATAATTTGATTAATGCCAAGTTCACGTGCCAGTTCCAAACCTGCAATCACAGCTTCATACTCTGCCTCATTGTTAGTTATAGAATGGCATTTTATGGCCTGACGAATGGTTTCACCCGTAGGTGGCATCAAAACAACTCCTAAACCTGCTCCCTTCACATTAGATGAGCCATCCACAAACAAGGTCCGAATTCCTGGATTAGACCCGTTGAACACTTGTAATTCTTTTTCCGCTTCTAATTGCATCTTTTGGCTAAAATCAGCTAAAAAATCTGCTAATACTTGAGATTTTATCGCGGTTCTAGGTTGGTATGTGATATCATATTCACTTAGTTCTATAGCCCATTTAGCTACCCTACCGGACAGCTCATGCTTGTGTAATATGTTGCGTAATGGATAAGCAGTTACTACGATAATAGGATGACATTGAAAATAAGGTCTTAGCTTTCTAGATGCCATGATCAGTGCAAGTGCAAGCTTTTCTAATAGAGGATATCGCGTCTCCGCATCTAATAATGATTTACTGACATAATAAATTGGAGACTGTACCTTGGTCTTCACGAACTAAAATAGCACTTACCGCTACTTCTGAGACAGCAAGATAAATGAGCAATCTTTCTCCAACCTTTGGTTTTGCGAGCAATGGCGGATTTGACAGGTATGTCTTCAAATTTTTGAGCGCCTGTTGACATTCCTCAGTCCATTCGAACTGGTCTTGCTTTTTAAGAGCTGAAAAGAATTTAAAGCACTTTTCGGATGATTTGGAATCATCTCCTCAAAGCTGCAATTCTTCCTATCAATCTCTGTACTTCTTTTTTATTTGTAAGTAGATCAGGGATTTCTTCAATGGCTTTAATCTGCGCTGGATTCACCTCAATACCACGGTTAGAAACAAGAAAACCTAAAAACTTACCTGATGCAACACCAAACGCACATTTCTCAGGGTTTAATTTCATATTGAATTTCCGCAAGATCTGAAACGTATATGATAAGTGCGATATATGATCCCCCGAATGTTGAGTTTTGACGAGCATATTATCTATATAGACCTCCATAGTTTTTCCCAAGTGTTCTTGGAACATTTTGGTCACCAGTCTTTGATACGTTGCACCAGCATTTTTGAGGCCAAAAGGCATTACTTTATAGCAGTAAGTCCCCCTGTCTGTTATGAATGAGGCTTTTTCTTCATCTAAAGGATCCATTTTAATTTGGTTATAAACTGAATATGCATCTAAAAAGCTTAACAACTCATGTCATGCAGTAGCATCAATTAGTTGATCTATATGTGGTAATGGAAAAGAGTCTTTGGGACAAGCTTTGTTAAGGTCTGTGTAATCTGCACAAACTCGCCAGTTACCATTCATTTTCGGTACTACAACAGTATTAGCTAAGCAATTAGGATACTTTACCTCGCGGATAGACCCGATTTTTAGTAATTTTTGGACCTCATCTTGAATCACCTGATTTTTGAAAGCTGATTGCTTTCTCTTCTTTTGTTTGACAGGTGTATATGAGGGGTCTTCATTTAACTTGTGAGTCATTACCTCCGGTGGTATTCCTGTCATATTAGAATGGGACCAAGCAAAATAATCCACGTTAGTTTTCAAAAATTCAATCAAATTACCTTTCATGCCCTGGCTTAGATTGGCCCCTATGTAGACTTTCCTTTCTGGCCATTGTGTGAATGATACTACAGCCTCCAGCTCTTCAATCGTTGTTTTGATATTTTCATTTTCCTCTGGTTCTTGAATGACATCATGCCTTGAGTCTACATCTGTTCGTTCTTGTTCAACTGAGGTTTGTGTTGTAGTACCCTCAACTGGATTCTGTAACTACTATTTTTCTTCGTTCCTCATACTTGAATCTGCCACGGAGTTGATACTCCTGGATATCTGTTGATCTCCACGGATTTGACGTATTCCCCATGGTGTTGGAAATTTAATAACTTGATGTAAGGTTGACGGAATGACGTCCATCTCGTGGTTCCATTGTCTTCCGAGAACCATATTATAAGCCATCTCCATCTTTACCACCTGAAACTTTGTATCCTTGACGACCCCTTCTGCAAATGTAGTAAGTATTACCTCACCTTTCGTCACGACGCTGGAATTGTCGAACCTAGACAAAGTGTGCGCTTCGGGTACTAATTTAGCTTCAGCTTGCATCTCGTGCAGAATTCTTAGCAGAATAATATTCACAGAGCTACCTGGATCAATCAAAACTCGTTTCACATTAGTGTCATGTACAAGTAAAGATATTGCCAGTGCATCGTTATGTGGAGTTAATACGCCATCCGCATCTGTATCATCAAACGTAATGCTTTCTTCCTCTAATACATGCCGCACCCGCTTCCCGTGGGTAATCGTGACTTTGGATACTTTATTTGCTGCTGTATACGTCACGCCATTGATTTTTTTGCCCCCGCTTATAACATTAACAATCCTTTTTGGAGAAGGCGGTTTAGGAGGCTCCTACCTATTCTTCATGTATGCTTGCTTACCTTTCTTGCTAAACAACTTAGTGAGATACCCCTGCTTCAACAGATGATCAACTTCACCTTGTAGTAACCTGCAATCTGCCGTTTTGTGACCATGATCGTTGTGAAATTCGCACCAGTGATCAGAATAACGCCTGTTTGAATTTGATCTCATTTCTTTTGGCCACCTCACTTTATCACCCATGCTTCTTAAAACAGCTACAAGCTCGGAAATGCTTACATTAAAATTATAACCGCCAAATCGTGCCTTCAAGTTTCTATCATCATCTCGTGACTCTTGTGTGTTACGATCATTTCCATA